TAATTACACTGTCTAACAACCCTTTTACCTAACTGCTCGTAACAGCCCAAGAACAAAAATAAGACATGCGACAGCGGATCGACCGTTTGATAAGCGTTAGGCCTACCAAATTTGTCTACTTGTGAGACTACTTGAGCGTAACTATCGGTCGTCAGCAGCAACTAACAGTAATTGACACCAGGTCAGTCGATGCTCAGTCTTCACCTACGCGCGTTCGCTGACAGTTCACTACAAACATTCCCTCCCACCTCCTACCAAAACGGGAGGAAGGGAAATAAGGAAATGCGCGTGAGTGTGTTGTGAGCTCCTCGTTTCTTGGGTGTGAAAAAGGGACATTACTGTCGTCAGTGATGTCAGAATCCTCCGATCCATTTTTGTCAATCGTTAAAAATTTATCTGCAAGTCATATAACCTCAAAAGAGGCCATTGTAAGGTGAACGGAAGGCTTTCAATACGTTATCAAAGCAGAGAAGGTCATAAGAAGGCAAACTCTTGTTGATGTTAGTCGAATTTTTTCGCACAAAGCACTTCCACTAATCAACATACTATGAAAAAATAATTTTAACATCTTTTTTCAGAACTATCGGCTATTTCACCAGGCAGACGGCGAGACGTACCAATCACAAATTTTGCTGGAGTGAATTTAATGTTATTTTTGCGAAATTGCGGATAACCAACATAGTTAACGTTAATGCGTCTGACCAGGTATTAGATGCAGTTTTTGCAATGCTAGATAATTTTAATTGCTCAAATATGTCAATGGATGCTGGCTGATACGTCGTATTACAAAAATGCTTCCATTTAGGAAGGTGTTTGAATCCTGAAATGATCAAGATATGAATTGTGCACAGTGATTAGAGGTGATAGAACTCGTAACACCGGTTGACAAAGCGTGCAATTGCATTGACGAACGGGCGACAGTTTAGATCACACTGTTTTTAATAGGGACTGTTGTTAACCAACAGGTAAAACGGTCCACACGGTTATAGACATAGGTAAAGCCACGGGACAACGAAAGAAGTCCAACTAAATCTGCATGCACAAGTCGCAAACGCTTGTCTGGGAGGGGAAACATCTAGCCAGAATAATGTAATGTTGGTGAACTTTGATGGGCGGAATATAATGTTTGGTCCATAACCGAACCTTTTTGCGTAAACTAGGCCAAACAAAACACTCAGATATCGAATACACAGTTGCACAAATGCAAGGATGCGAAAACAAGGGAAGGTGCTCAAACACTTGCTTAGTAAATTCGACAGGAACATGCGGTCAAGGTCTGGGAATTGACAAAGTGTACATACTTTTCGTGGAATAGTGCGACAGAGGCAGTTCTTCCACATTTAAATCATAATTTGGACAAAATTTGTCGTAATTCTGCATTGTTAGTCTGCGCCGCAACTAACTGTTCAAAGTCGATACAAGGAACGGAAATTTTGTGAATATATTTTTACGAGAATGTGAGTTGCAAGACACTGCCAAAATATTTGGATTAGCGTGGAGAATACTATTTACGTGCTGTCCGGATAGCATGAGCCAAGGGTTTTAATCAATAAAAATTGTATATTTACGTCTTTTCCATAGGTAACGGAAAGGTTTTACATCAAGTTTAATTCCCAATAGTGCTCCTCAGAATGCATCATAACGAGTCCGAGTCACTTGAAGATTCTGGGAAAATAATGCTAATGACTCAAAATGACTGTTTGGCTCCTCATGTAGGACTGCGCTGACAGCAGTTTGGAAGGCATTGGTTTGGAAAACAGTAGCTCCAGTTTGTGACATATTCGCTGTCCTCCTTAATTGCTTGAAGTGCTGTCTCAGCTTCCTTCATGAGATATCTTTGAAACAAGTCATTCAGTGGAATCAAGATTGCAGTGATATGCTGACTAAACCACACGGATAATTCTGGCATTCCGTTCTTCAGGATCACTGCGATGTGGTATCAAAAAAACATGTTTGAGAGTATTTAATTTTTAAAAAAGGTGAAAACTTGCGTAAATGCAAAACATGTTAATTTTGTTTTAATCATCAATCAGAACAAGTATGGAATCAAGACGACGTAGAACGTTGTCCGTAAGTATCAAAAAATTCGGAGTTTGCATCAAGCAACCAAAAGGGCATTTTTAAGAACTCAGTCCTAAAATGGCTAGTCTTGAAATGACTTTATGACCGTCCAACCCAATACAAAACCGTAAATGGGTAGAATTGGGAACTTTATTTGGGATCTGTGATCATCACAGGGTGTTCAGTTTCCGGATTTCTTAGGTACGATGCGTAATAGGACTGCCCAAGAACAATTGGAAGAATGCATTGTTTCTAGGTAGCAAAGAGGCTCAAATTATGCTTTGGCTGCTCCGAGTTTATCAGGGGCAAGTTATTTGACCTTTGGTCGTGAAATGGTGCATAACATGGCGGGTAGGTTCGAAGAGCGTCTGGGCCATAATGACCATTACAGAAAAACTCTTCCAAGAAATGTTCGTACCCGTTGAAATCTGGCAATGTCAAAAGGGAATCTATCGAATTTATTGAGGCGGGAACTCCTTGAGTCGATTGAGCAGTGCTTTAGCAATAAGCTTGCGCTGTCTAAGAAGGGCGTTCAGTTCCAAATATTGGTCGTCAAACTTCGGCTGTTAAAAAAATTAAAACTGTCACCCTTAGACCAAATTTAAAGAGAGTAACTTTTGAAGATGCGTCGCAATGAAAACTTTGGTCTCGACCTGAAATTGCGGCCTGCTAACTTCGACGCCAGTGACAGTCAAAAAGTTAAAATCGTCAACTGCCTTTGGGAAGTAAAATTTAGAGCCTAAGGCAGGCCTAGCCTTTACTGGTGATTGGCGTGATCATAAATGCATATTTGGAAAGCTTGGAAGCCTGTTGTTGACTGTATGAGTATCCACAGGCTACCACCATTGACCAGGTTGCTCCCTGGAATAGCTAGGTTGGCGTAGCCGGAAGCAGGCGTTAGCATCATTGTAGCTATCTGGAAGAAAATCCATCCATTCCAACTGAGAGATTGGCCATTAGTGCCTGCATTGTATTTAGGCTTAATTTATTCGCCTGGAAAAATGGATTAATTCTCCAATGCTTGAAAGAGGCACGAGTAGATTTTATCTGTTTGTGTGAGCTTCTCTAGCGATATCAGAGCTTCAGAATGCGATAATTGCATACGCATTTGCCGGCAGGCATTTAGTCCATAATTGCCGTTGCACTGAATGGTTTGCTTCATAATTACCGACCAAGAGGCGCGAATGCCAGTGGAGTTGGGCGGAAGATCTGTCACCAACATCTAAAGGGGAAAGGGAATGTCGAAGACGAGCCACATTCGAGCTGGTTGCTCACGTGAACACCGCGTTCGTCAACATTTCACGGTGGTTTTCGGAGAGTGTTTGATGAAGGAAGTCGAGAACGTTGTTGGAAAAATGAAACAGACAGTCGGATAAAACGCACAGCCAGCTGTTGTTTGAATTTTATTCTCAGGTTTGGCAAAATTGAGCCTTGCTACCCTAAAATACCGAACTTCTTGTTAAAGATTTATTTTGGGAACAGCTGATGTGCGAAAAAATCCATAATTTATTAGTTTATTACATAATATCTTCCGGTCAATCCCAAGTTGTGATTCTGTAACAATTTATTTCTCTTAATTCAATTCTAACATATGTATCATTTATCTTTACATGGTTATATGCCGTTACGATAAAGGAGTTGCGTGCGAGGGCTAATTCCTTAATATTTTGCAGACTTCAAGTTCAGTTGAGGGCATTAGATCTGCGTAAAAATATGACCACTTCATTTCCACTAAGTAGACTGTTGTAGTCAGGACATAAACCAGTTTAATAATTGTGTTCATGATCAAAAATATCCTTTATTTCCCCGCTTATCTTGAGTTTGCAGTGGACTATAAGCAGACGCGAAACGGCGGTGGCTTGTTCGAAGCGTTACCAACACGTTGATTGGCATCTGTGGCTCACCCTGGCCTTTCATTGGTCTAAATTCTCATATCTAGAGATCGAATATTCACTCGTGCGTATTTATTCTCGGGATCTTAGAGTGTTGATGGCGAATAAGATTATAATGTTACTTGTACTTTTCTGCAACCTGTATCCACATGCTATCTTTGTAAATGAAACACATGGACTTAATCGAACAAAATCCCTGATTTCCAAAACCCCAATTATCATTTACAAGTCACTTTTTTTAGTCCTTCAAATTTGTAAAGTGGGTGGAATAAACTTTAGCAAGTCCAAGTGAAAAAGAACAATTCTGTGCAAAAAACAGGAACCTTTTTTGTTGACACCTAGCAAAATATGTTTTTTTCTAAAAATGTGTGGCGTTGACTTCAGGAGGTAGATATGAATAAGTCAGCCAACCTCAGAAATTTCGTTTGTCAGGCGATTTAGCAATCATCTTTTTATCGATCATTTAATTTGCCTTTTTGGGCCTAATGCATTTTGCCTAATTTTCATGACATTCTCGTTCCACCAGCCAAGCAAATTTTCCTTTCAATCCCTTTTAAGCGTCTTGTTTAACATTGCAAAGTTGTGTTATTTTAATACCTTTTACAAGACCCAATTTTATACGTTCCCAATGCTCTTTTTATTGCTGCATTGTATCTGACAAAATTTTACAAATACGCTCATATGGACCCCAGAAATTTAATTGAGCAGAAGCCCTGTAGTAAAATTGACTTTTATACTTCAAACCTTCAGCCCCATGCCTTAAAAAATAAAAATATACCTATATTTGCACTAAAAAGTCCCCCGTGAGTGTTTTGAAGACTTAATTATTGCTGTTTTCGCGCTTCTGAGCACTTTTATCATTTATGCCTGCCGAGAAGCTACAGTTTATAACCGTACAGCGACACAGTTTGGATGACTTTGTCTTGCTGAATTCGGAATGAGTTGGCCTAAGGAAAACACTTAATATAGTCCATTGTCTCAACTAAATTTACTGGGTGGATGGATTGAAGTATTTTTATTGGTTACATTAGATTCTAACGACGTCCACTAGTCTTCTTCCTCCTCTTCATCCTCTCCCTCCTCTTCCGCCTCTTTGGCAGCTCTTTGGGCTGCCTTTTCAGCTTTTCGACGTTCTAGTTCCGCCTTTTTCCAAGCTTTAAAGACCACATCAGTACCCATTTCAATAACCTCTTCTAGCACAAAATGAGCCACCTCAAATCGCATTTTGTCAGTAGAAAGTGACGATTTCTTATCAGTAAGTTCGCGGACGCGTTTCAGTTCGGCTTGACGCCTCCTCTCCTCCTCTTCAACGCGAATGCGCTCGCTCTATAATTGTGCATAGAATCTAGGCAGTGGATTCGGCAACAGACTAAAGTACCCAATGCAAAAAGTTCACAATTTTTAGGTTTACATTTAGGCAATGCAATTACAAACACATAGACTACTTTTAACTACATCACTTAAGGGCTTATAAGGCGCATGCATCTTAGTAAATTGGAGCACTTCCTAAAGATGCTATAACCACTGATCAGTGCCGTATAAAATGACATCTTTTAGTCAAGAATATAAGGGCAAGCACTTATATAAGATCATACGACACACACCTTCCTTTCGTCTCATATTTGTTAAATTTAACATTTATGCAGAAGGTAATTTTCTCGGATGATTCTATAGTTATAAACTAAAATATTGCATATTGTTTAACCTCATGGCATCAGATGAGCCTTCTAGGTAGTGAGATTACGGTCCCATAAACTGTGATTAAGCGACAATAGCTGAGCAAACCTAGGTGTCTTGTAGTGAATACTGATGTCTTGCCTATGTTTAACATGCACTTGCACAGTGCAAGTCACACCTATGTACGCTAGGGATTAAAAAATAACTTCATAGGCAGTTTGAAAATCAACACCGTGATATCTGAGGTTTGCAGAATCCTGATTTTTTCTTTCCTAAATGAAAGCTGAAGGCCTATTCTTACTTTAAGGTAATCCTGTTCAACACGGATTGCACGTTCTGCTTGGACTTTTATGTTCCAGGGGATTTCAATGGACAGTAGACGTTCCATTTCACTTTTGGCAAATTTTTTCTGGAAAACAAAATAAAACGTTGTTTGTTTTCGAATTCATGCCACCTTAAGGAAACCACGTGCTATTAAGCAGCTTTCACATAGACAATAGGTGTGAAAACTACCGCTGGTCCATGATGATTAATGAATTGAAATGAAACTGGATTTGTTTTTAATTAAACATTAAAGTAAGCTGAGTTTGGAAATTTAAGTAGGTGACATCCAAAGTTATTTGTAAATCTTTAATATCAGGTCTTAAATTTTCTCCCTGGAAATGGGGCAAAAGTTTTATTGAAGTGTATTTGCTGGTCGCCAAACCCAAAATGTCTTGTCGCAATCCCCCACTACCTTCAAAAATAATCAATTGCATTTTCCTGGTACAAAAACATTCTGTAGTTTGAACATCCTGGTTACCGGAAGGGCGTGGGTAAAACTTTCTGTGGTTTGCTCCGTGTAAAAAAATCGGCAGTTCCAAATATTTGAGCGGTGTGTTTTGCAGTGCTCATTTTAATCATTGCTGACTGCAGTTCTTCGGAGAGGCATATTTGTGTCCTAAGAATGTAGGGAGAAATGTCACGATCGCCTTGCTGACTTATCAACCTTTGGTTCTTTATCCTTTAACTCAATCGCCAAAATAGATGTAATTCCAACATGCGCTGGGACCCACAACTGGTTCAAGCATGGCCTCTGTTGGGCGACATGGGTTCCGAACCACGATTAAAGGTAAAGCACTACTGTCGAGGCATTTCTGGTTTTAAAAATCGAATTTTAAACACCATCAGGCGTATTTATTCTTGTGTCAATTGTTGCCATTAGTAATGCGTTAACCCCACAAAACTGACAGGGGATATATTAACATTTTAAAGAGATTGTATTAGTTGAGCATCGTTTGCTGTTGATTCTACTGGTGAAACCAGCAGCGGCCGAGTTTGGCACTACCACAAAACCCCATAGTTAACAGCCGGTCATAACCCGAGAAGAGAGAGGACAAAGAGTTAAAAGAGAACACGACCGTTTATTCGCGTCACGCCAGTCGAGTAAAATCGACTTCTGTGTGCGTATCGATACGCGGGCGTTACAGGCGACTGCTAACAAGAGCCAATGCCACAAAGAGGGTGATTTGATGGTGCAGTCGGGCCAGCATACAGGCATCACTCACGCGCGGTGGCTATCTGTCCAAAACAGTGCATTCACGGAAAAAAAATCGATTGATTTGTGTCCGCTCGAGCTTGCAAATTGTGCTGGCTTGCTGGTCGCCACAAGCCTTTTTTGAATCAATCATTTTTGGTTGAGTCATCGCTAATAAACCTAATTGCGTTCTGAGAGCCTGATTGGCTGATGAAGCAGCGTGAGAAACTGTTAACATGGTATTTGTCTCCCCATTCAAATTTCGAAAAAAATCACGCTCGATGAAATGTCTTTAGCCATTTTCGTTTCCTCAAAAATAAATTATTTGATAAAAGTAATAAATAATTAAAGGATCAATGCTGTCAGATTCATTAACGTTACAAAGACAGCATGCAAGCTATTCCAAATTGCCTTAATTCCTAACTGGCCTTACCTCTCATCTAACTATCACGACAAATTGTTTCCGACTGAAGCATTTCGACCACGAGGTTGTTTCTACTTCCTTGCACGTATTCTGGTAGACAAACTGTTAACCAGTATTTGATCAAAATCTGTGTAAATAAATGTCCTCTAAATGAACAATCAGATTTGGAACCTCTGGGGTTGTAGAATAAAAGACGAAGTGTGTTTCCAATTATACCCACCACCAACGCACCACTAAAGTGTGGATCCGTTGACCTCATTCACCATGTCTGCAGATTTATCCTAATTGTGCCATGAAAACTTCGTGCACACCCGATTGCTGTTTTGTGTGAAAAACCAACAGTAATCACCACCATGGGATTTTGTGCATTAACAGTTAGTTCAAAACATAATTTCAGCTTGGTTTTTCATTTGTAGGCCTCTCGGTAAACTTTCAATTGTGCAGGCTTATTTCTGTATTAGGCAAACTTTGGCGATTGAAGACAATTTTTTTATCTTAAAGTTCCTATGCATAATGAATTTTCATGACATTTTGGTGTCTTGAAAGAATTGAGGTTGCCACATTAGCCGGTACAGGATTCCCTAGGGAGCTGACTATAGTTTGTCTGTTTTAATTGGATGTGTGTCCTCGTATAACGTCAGAATAGGATTGAAGACATTCGTGCCGATCACTAAATAGAGAGATTGGTAAAAACGTTAAAATTAGTCTCATTCAAAGGACCTTACTTTAGGGCATTTCGGCTTAAAATTCCTAACCGCAAAAAATCAAGAGCATTTAAGTAGGAAATGTGGTCTGTTAGTGCAAACTGTAAATCACCAGTGTCATTGCAAAAGCTCTGAAGTTCAGGCAACCAAATGCCACCATTAGGCTTAAATTAAACCTTTCAGAGTTGAAATGACTTGCAAAGAGGCTTCATGACAAGGGAGCAAAATAGGCCCATTTAGCATAACTGTGATTTGAAAACGCTTGCTGTTGTAGGAGGAAAGGTAAGCTCAAATGTCCTCCTACTTCATTTTAATCAGCCGTTCTGCAATAGTTAAGCATTAGTAATGCAGTCACCAAATTCTCTCCACCGGCATTACAGATTCTAAATAATAACTAAATTATTTTATCGCATTAAATAAATTAGTGCTTCACTCATTATAACATCTGATTTTGTTTCATTTCTGATTGAATTGTCCTTATACAGGCAGATTTAATAACCTTTGGCCTTAATTGTTGTTTAAATAATTTTGAAAGCTATAAAACGTTTCTGGGCAATTTTAAGCGTGGATTATGCTGAACAGGTAATTTAGCAGTCCGAGGAATTGAGAGTTTTTAATTCCAATCTTCTTCCGACATTTCGATTTAACCAAAGTTGGCAAGGCAGTTTAAAAAGACACGTTTATTTCTTGTTGCAGGTTACTTCTGGCCAAAACGATTGTCATTTTTACACTGTGTGAATTTGCAATTTTTAATGTTTAAAAGCCAGTGCTAGAGTAAAAAGATTATTCCTTTCAGCAAAGACAACAAAAGTAATAAGCATGTTGTATAGTTTCCCATTTGATTTCGTCAAAATCTTCAGCAGGAAAAATACCAAAAAACCAGTAATTACTTTCCACGTGTAAATCCTGAGCTAAATATGGTGAAAATCGGAGGCATGAAATCGTATTTCTGGCGGGATTTCAATGGCTGGTAAGCAGATGACCATTCATTACGGAAAAAAATATTTTAGTATTCTGATTTTTATAGTGTTATTTTAAGTAAACGAATGCATCTTCACTGTGTACAGGAATGCCCACACTGTTGTAACCTGAACAATCACCAGGCGCTCTCAAAGTCAACTACAAACACCCTAGATCAAGACCCTTTTTAGCACTTGAGGCCTTGAACATGAAAAATTGCACCACATAGAAACTGCATTGTAAAACAGGATTTTGAAACATCAGCGCGACATCTACTTTCCATCCACACCAATCGGAAGCGTGAAAGTTAGGCACCTCGTGTGGATTAAAACGTCCAAGTGTCGACGACTATGATTTTACCTCCGTGTCTGAAAACGGTGCCACAACAACGACTGTTACACGAGCAAAAGGCTGCATCTGCAACTAAACTTCATTCAGGTAAATTCTAGGAGGCAATTGTAGAGAGTAAATCATATGGAGATCGCATTCTACGATTAGAACCTGTCACCGTGGGACTATATTGCATATTATTGACGGAAAAAAATATTTACGTGATTGGGATCTTAAAGAAACCAATTTTACGAAGCAAATAATGAACTGTGACATAAAATTAACGCTCTTATTTATTGTTCGAATTTTGCGAGAAGTATTTGGATTATTGGAAAACAGTGTAAATCTAGGGTCTAGTTTGTGGTCTTTTTGCAATCATAATTGTCTTCAGGATTTTGACGTTTAACTTCTTAAACACAAATTATTTACAATTTTTTTGAGGGCAACATGAAATGTTTAAACCAGAAATTTTAGTCTTCGTTTTATCAAAGAATTTGAGATTATTTGATGATCCTGCTAAGGCCTTACTTAGAGTGCCACCTGTCTTCATAAATACGGCCTTTAAGGCTTAAAATTTCCAGGACTGTCACATAATTTTTGCAATTTTTTGGGTAATTTAAAAAAGAAATACGTGGATCCTATCGGAGTAAAGTAAATTTGATCATCCAAGTTGATGAAATTGAGTGTAGCACTTACCCGACGATAGTCCCTGACCTTAACCGCCCAGTATCTGAGGTAATTTGCGAGAAATTCGATAGGGTCGAGAGGTTGGTAGAGCACAATGGCTGCCAGCGCATCTTTTAGTGGCTCGCCTAGGACGCGTTGCACGTAGTCACTTTCCGAATGTTGCATGGCGTACTCCTTGGTCTAAATTTGAATGAAAATCGATAAAACAACGGCAAGTATTTTTGCTGATTGGACAACAAACTCAGTGAAACAGGAAGTGCTCCAGTTCTACTTCGAATTGCTCATGAACTGTCACGTGGGCGGACAGTGATGCTAGGCAATGAACGATACCATTTGCTGCAAAAAAATGGTAAATGCATACCGCTTCCTTGGAGATAGGTAAGCAAACATTCTGCTTAAATATTTCAGGACGCAGATGCTACAGCCAAAGTCTCTAAAATTCTGCAATCCTAAGTGAAATTTATTCCTTTTCTGATCGCCTTAGTGATTGCAAATATGTTCTAACACATGTGCGCTTTGTTAACACAAGCATTATGGAGTTATTATAGGTTCTATGCTCAAAAAAATCGGTTAAAAAGCAGGGTTTATTAGCTGTAGTGGTTTCTTCCTTTTATTTGTGCTAGGTTTGGAGTTACCAGTGAGAGATTTCTTTTATCCTGAACATCGGATTATATTTGACGTTTTCTGTGTCATATTTCTTGTACATTCAACAAAATAGTTTTGGGAAATCTCGATGTAAAAACTACAACTTCACTTCAAATTGTTTGCATTTCCTTCTAGATTTCTGATATTTTTATGACTTTAGGAATAAAATTTAATCTATCAATAATCCTTAAAAATAAGACAAGGCTACTTTCAAGCCTGGATGACCAAGTAAAACATCCTTACGATAAAACATATTTTTTGAAACTACGTTTATGCAACTAATTTAGTCTTTTAATTACTATATTCAATCGTTTACATTGGCACGAATTGCTCATTTGTTTTTTTAAAATCATATTAACCTTGAAAGAACACCCGTAAGAGGATAGGTGTATAATAAGCGGCGCAGCCAGCGCGGTTAAATCGGATGGACGGCGTGTGACGCGCGCCGTTCGACCCACGCCGGTCTGGCCTGTTCTTTGTCCTCCTCTCCCTTCCCGCACTCTCGTCTTCCTCAAGGCACACCCGTGAGTCCGAGGGCAACACAAACCCTCCTCTCGGCCATCCCTTTCCCCACTCTAACTCTCCCAAAGCTCTAGCCCTCTGAGTTTGTATGCGGCAGTTTGGAATACATCCGGTTCTTCCAGCTATTCTTCTATCGTGTGCCTGGTAGCTAACCATGATGGTGTGGCTATCCGAGAGGGACGGGCTAACAGTCATCTCCCTATTTAGGTCCCCGCTCGGTAGGCGCGTTACAGACGCCTGATGTATGGTTTCGGCTTATGATTGATCAATAAATTGTTTTTTTGCTTTTTTTTTGTTTTTTTCCCACCAGTATTCTTCATATTAGGGCTTAGGTATTTTGCGCCCCGTCCCCGTCTAGATTCATAACGCCTTTGCAATATTTGGGTGAATGCCTTGAATTCACCGCATGTAGCAATGTTGCCCAATTTTAAAATAATATCTTTTCACGTGTATCTCCAAGACTATCTATTTGCTAGTCTAATAACATCGTAGAAGACACTTAACCTCGTGGTAACTACAGGGCTGCTTTATATCTGTTCCTAGTAATTTTGTGGACAGCTCACATTAACCAATTGTACACTCACACCATTCTTTCACTCAAAGGGGACTCTGCGAGTCTTTTAATCTATGGTTATATAAATTAGTCCTTTTTCATCAGAGCATTTAAACCCCATGTTTATTGACGTTCTTAATGCCACTTCAAAATTCCACACTTACATTGTTGGATTTCGCATTCAATGGTTAACACTATTGTCAGTACTTGATGGAGCTAACCGTAGTTGAAGCTTCTGAATTTAACTCTAATTTGAATTCAAGCATACCCATCTTTGGTTAGCAAACCAGGCTAATCATGTAGGGAATTCCCGTAAGCCTTACGATTTTAGGTTTGGATAAAGTTAAAATTGAAAATGAATTTAAATAAGCCTGTTGATGTATCGCAAACTAGTGCGTAGCTTTTCTAGTTTAGCGCCTTTTACGTCATCATTTCTGGCCACATGTTATTTTAGCAATAAATCAGTCAGAACTTATAACCTGTTCCGTAGAAAAAAAAAGATTCTGTGTAATAAACTTCATTCTCTGTTCTTAATCCTCTTTCGGGTAATCCATTGTTCAGGGTGTAATTTAATGACAAACGAATCCAATTGCAAAACTCGTTGGTCTTTAACAGGATGGTTCAAAAACATGGTTATACTGTCAACTCGTTTACAAAGATTTGCAAAAACATTGCCCCTTTAAACCGTGGATTACTAATGGGTTTTTTAATCCACCATGGTGACAAGTTAGATTAGCGGTCACTGTAATCAGGTAGTTGGATCGTGGATTTCAAATTTAATTAGTCATTTCTTGTTGTAAAATTGTTTATAAGAGGCTATTTAAGTTATTTGGCAAAAATGTGTGCATCCTACCTTCCTATTGTAACCTACTTACACTATGTAGTTAATCTAAGTATCTTAAAAGCGTCAAATCAATTTTAATTTGTTGGTTTGGAAAAACCATTTTGTGTGCCAATGTGACGTTTAGAGTCGTTCCGGACACATGTTAAATGTAACCACTGAAAACCTATTAAACCAGGCTTCAAAACAAATCAGTGGTCACATAGCGATAAGCCGACATTTTCTTCTATGCTGAGAACCAAAATAAGCCATATATTGACATTTATTATTTATTATTGTAGATATGCTTATATTCCTCAACCAGAAGAGCATCTAAAATGGCAGGCAGAATGGTTTTATGGGAATTTCTATAAATCAGATGCACTTCACAATTTCCTAGTTAAAGCCTACAATTAAAATCAAAGTACCCTGTCATCTGGATGATTTTCCTCGCTTTTGGTTTACCGTCAAATACAAAAAATGGAACTAAAAATGTTGAACCATAATATAAGAGATTTTTAATCGATATAATTTAGTCAGTAAAAACCTTGTGTGAAGACCTATGAAATTACCAAAGAGAGGGTTGCCGGTGACTCTCACCCCATTATGATCTCGAGGAACTGACAAAATCTCAAAGTTAACATGATTAAACGTGATTCAATAACATTGCACGATTTTTAAGGCCTGTAATCAGATACGTACAGATCTTTTAATTTTGTTTTGAAAATGAAGTTCACAAATTTTGTAACGCAGCATCCTAACCACTGCTAAACCTTTAACAGCAATGTGTAATTGCTCGATTTCATAAGAGATTTAAGGAATCTGGCTAAAAATTGATTATTCACAGGATATATGGGAGAAAGGTTTTAGCTGATAACTTTAACATCATCAAATGTGTGCACTTATGTTATCATGAACAGTAAGCATCTAGAAAACATGGTTTCTATGAAATCACATTGACCATCCAATACACAGAAGATCAGGGCATCCTGAGTTTTCAGAGGTTAAACCAATAACAGGAAATATCATACTACTTCGGAGGATTTATTTCCACTGATTGCACTGTCATTCATAAATCGAAAAACTTTATTTGCTGCGGAAAAACTAATTTTTGGTCCTGCAGTACTATGGCAATCATTAAGGAAGGTGGCAAGATATCAACCTGACCAATGTGGCGTAACGGCAAAAATATATAATATGCATGATTGTGTCTCATGCAAAGCAGATATATGAAGATGAAATAAAAGTTATTTTTTGCATCCTTTTTGAGTAATAACTACAAATATTTGAATGGAGATGCACTCCGATCCATGCTGCAAAAAATGCCCTGTGTGTGCAGCTTGACTCGATTACACATATTTGAATAAAAAATATGCATAGAAGTCAACTAATCACATTGTCATATCTTATTCTTCTGCATCGACAAAATTTTCTTTAATTGATGCATTCGTCATTATCCCAAACAAAAAAATTAACCGACTTCCTGAAAATGCAAAAAGTGAATTACATTTAGCACTGTGTGCCATTCCTTTATAATTCTAATTACTTTGGTTATATTAAGGACATCATGGAAACTTTAAAAGGTTGACGTGCCATAAATTAAGTTTAAAAATCGAATTTTGTTGGCGTAATGTTATCACAAGTTAATTCTGAATAATTACAATTGCTTTTAAACACATTTTAAAAGGGCAAGAGAAGACATATTCATTGCCTACAGATGCCAAAACACTGACTTTTATGTAATGACTTCTAATGCGTGGAATTTCAGCCGAGCTATGTAAATTGCTTCAAATGAACAATTTAATAAGACTAAAAGGTCGGAATTCAGCCATATTTCATTACTTTTTAAATAGTGCCGAAAACCCTAGTAAGAGTATATTTTATTTTTGTATTTTTTTAATACACCACTAAGTTTTCCAAGTTGTTTGTTTCGCTAAATCATTTTGTTCCCATTTGTTATTTAGCGCAGTCCTCAAAATGTTGGACTCATCTGTTTCATTGTCTGGTTGTGAAAATTGTGCGCGTTGTTAATCCAGTAACGAATCTGTATGTGAACCCTTATTGTTGTAACTTTTGCTGAAGTTTTGGTGAAAACATTTATAATTTATACACGAGGATACTGTTTAAATCCCTGGCCCTATGTACCTCGTCTTGACAAAAACGACCGAGTTGTCAGGCCTTCTGTCACAAAGTAATAACCACTTACGCGGTCTTGTGTGCGGCCAAAACACGCAGTGGCTTGTCTGAAGTCATTTTGGTTTAACTGTATGCAAACGACCGAAAGTTGCAGGCCACAAAATTAACGTTAGTGTTCTAGGGCGGCAGGACTATCCCTTCGCGACATTGATAATTTTGAAGATGGATATATGAAATTTCGAGTTAGTTCGGGGATGACCACATCCTTTATTTATCACTTTCCCCTTCACTTTGCGTAACCTTGACGTTAATCGAAGTATTATAATATTACAACTGGGATTATTTTATACACAGCTTCAACTACTGCTTTATATTCACACAACTTTGGTTTCCATTATCTTTTTTTGCACCTTAATATCTCTGCCTTTTACCATCAGCATCTGATTGTTCTATTCACTCCTGCATTGGTTACCCAACATTCAGGGTTAATGTTCCGTAGCATGGGACTTGGCTAGTTTGCCTTCTTTCAACTATTTGGACTACTCTTCACTTGCTTTTAATGGCATTCTGGCCACTGTTTTGCCTTTATGTTGAGCCAAGACTAATCATTGTTTTCAGGCTTTAACGCAGATGTGGTGCCAATCATTTTCTTATTCTATTGCTCACCTTCTCATTTACCAATTAAAGTCGCTTCTTTAATTTAAATCATAATGACCTGTTACCTGGTTTAACTCCTACAATTTCGTACACGGAGTCGGCTTCAATCTTAAAAAATTCTTGACTTGGCTTGCTTGACTGATCTGATATTATTTCATAGGTCTACCATTGTCTTACTCGTGTCCTGATAGTTCTAGTCTCAGCTTTAAACTTTTCGCTCATCACCGTGGTGTGAACCGTGAGTTCTTACCTGTAGGTTTAATTAGGTGATACTTCTCAGATCACTAGATTCGTTTCAATTCTTGGGCGCAAAAACACAAATTACACTTGCAGATATTTTTGCCATTGTTATAATTCTAATTTATATGTCCCACACCTAACGGATGGCTTCTCTGGTTTTGGTTGGTTGTGTGTACCCTTACCTCTTTCTCATTTTGATTTTTGGAACTGTTTATCAAGTCGATGGATGTACTAGAAAATAAAATTATCTTGGCAACAGGAAAATTTTGTCAGGAGTAAAATATTTAGTTAAAAAAGACGTAAAAAGCACATGTATAATAAAAGTTCCCAGTTTTGTGACTGTCGTTTCTTTTACCACTAGTTAAGACTTGCGTCCGCACTTCAAGCATTCTTCAAATTTGGGAATATGTTGCCGGATATACCCAACATTTCAAGAGTCCATCCACTTGTGACGCGTATACTTGGCCAGAATCCAGGTGTCATGACTCTACAGGTATAAATTTTTTGCGACCTTCAGATAAGCCGTTTAGATGTAGTATTGCTTTAAAATGGAGCAATATTATCTCTGTTTATAAATCGATTCAAGTTTTGTTCTTTATCCTCTTGCTTGTTTGTAATATTTAAGTCATTAATGCTTTTTTTTATTTTAACCTTATTAAACGTTGAGTTTAAGAATTTTGTTTTTGCAAAGCTCCTGACAAGTTGCTCATAATGAAGCAGTTTATCTTTAAAAGGATCAAAAGTAAATTTGAAAAACCAACTGTCAATGGAAGTAAGGAAATCCAACGGAAAATCAAAGTGCTTTTTTCCACAGCCGACTAAGTTCATTTTATGGACGTCGTCCTAGGTTGCAGTGATCGATGTTTTATTTTTTTCTAAATACACCAGTCATAAAAATCGAATTACTGGTTTAAAAGATGCCCTTTTGTGCGTTATGTGCTTCAAGCATTCGAAAGCCATTGTGACCACATGCTGTTATTAGGATTTTCGGATTTAGTCGGTGACCCCTATTGAAAATTTTACTTCATTTATGCAGTTGTGTGTTCTTGCATTAATTTTTGCTTGCTTTAGAGATCTTAATAATTTGTGTGATTCACATTACCATCTATGCACAAGTAGAAATACTGTGTGGAGAGTATTGTGCAAGTCGAATTTGTATCATTCTCGAACTACATTCATTAGGGAAGTTAGAAATTTTGCATTTGTTTAGTTAGATTAGGTGACCAAACATTGGCAGCACTGTGACACGCATTTTGTCGCGTCTTATGCGGCTACAGAGACATCTGCAATTGTGGATTTAGCCCATGACCTTCACAGGTAATTTAGTTCATTACATGTTACCTTGTATCCTGACATGATTAAAGAACATCACGCCACCAACTGAAACCTAGGAACCCGGCGCTTGTAGACTAGGAGCAGATTCATTGTAAATTCTGCTGGTACCTAATCTAAGTCCTGCGTCAATGAATAGGCCTCAAGGTAGTATGCATTAAAAATTTCTCTTTGGAAGCCCTACACGTACCTGAAAGCGTGGTTTTTAATTTTTTTCATTTTCAGGGCACCAATTCTTACCTTATTGGTGATCCTGCGCAACCCCGAGTTTTAATCGATACCACGGAGGGTAGTTCTGCTACGGTGGGCGGCTACATCCCGTTGCTCGAGGAAGCACTCCAGGCGCATCCGTCGTCGTCAGAAACACCGCCACTGGCTGCGATTATGTTGACCCACTGGCACCCTGATCATTGTCAGGGTGTTTCGGCAGTGCAGGTTTGTCAGATCACACTTGTTTTGGTGCAATGTTAGCAAAAAAGCACTTTTACTTGCCATTTGTTTCACGCAACAGCGTTTTGCGTTAAGCTAAAAGCTGGAAAATGTCCTCCGTATGTTTATATGCTGTTGTTTAGGTGGTTGTAGAAACTCACATCTGAAGTACTCCTTAGGAATTTAACAAAAACTTTCAGATGTACACAAAACCTGACATGAGTGTAAGTACTAGTTGTTATTTATTTTTTATGCGAATGGCACGTTGTAATTTTAATTCACAAGAATGCTTTGGTCGCATTTTTGAGTAATCCTGGGTTTTCATCTCTCCATTCTGCAAATCACTAGGTTTAGGCTTCGTGCATGCTAGATCGTTAAAGGTGGTAATTTTACTGGTCTTATTGAGATTACAGTGAAAACAGGGAGGTTCGACAATGGACTTACTGTGAAAGCGTTCTCAATACTGCAATAATTTTCCTAAGAGATGATGTAATGTTCTGGATTACAGTAGTTTTTCTGTATTTACTGTGTATTTAGACGTTCAGTATCCGGATGATTTCAGTCGATGCTTGCTTAATGCACTTGGGATCTTTTGAACTTGTAAACCTTCTTCTTCCGTCATTAAAAGTGCATCCTAATGGATGTTTTAGGACCTGGTTCACAAACTGTCTCCATCCACTACTTCTGTTCCCGTCTACAAGTCTCCTGAGGGGCCAAATCTTAAGCAAATCGGTTACTACGCGGGCCCGCTAAAGGCGCTGAGTGGTCAGGTTGAGGTCCCGTCGGCGGGCAGTCAGCCGGTCTTCCTGAAGCCCATCTTTACTCCGGGTCACAGTGTGGACCACATGTGTTTTGCACTGAGCATCGGCGAGAAGGTGGAGTGCATTTTTGTCGGCGACCTCATACTAGGTGGGCTGGTTATTAGTTCTGTTAGTGCACGAATCGGCTGTTTTGCACGGAATCGGCTACCTTTTTGAGGTCTGAGTTCCATCGCTTGGATGATTTTTTACTTGACTAGTCTCTGGCTGTCAGTGATGCCCCAGTTAACATTGTCACTGCTTAAAAAGGCGAACATTGTTGTAATTTCGCCAATAGAATTCAGTAGTACACATTTTTGCGTTCGTCACATGTCTTCCCAGACGATTGTGGCTCTCAAATCCTAAACAGCCAAGCCATGTTCGAAAATTGCTTTGTCCTCTGCAGCCGCTCAAATGCTAAGCCCTATAACAAGACGACTCCTTTGGCAGTCGTTTTTTAGCCTACCACGAAATTCATGTGGTTTTTTTAGTCTCCTCTTTGGGTGGTGGTTTTGTCTGCGCTCACATTTATTGACTGCTGATGATACGTTTCAAATTCCTTGCCTTTTAAGCCTAATAGCGCTTAATTAAAAGCTTTTTTGGGAAAAAGATCCATCCCCCTTAGGAGGCCTCAAACCTCTGTTGAATTAAAAAAACCATATTTTCTAGCTCAGTCACGGGTTTACTACTTCCTGCCTCTGTTCAACTGTGCTGCCAGGCTCTATGGCCCCGTGTTTTCACGTTCATTTGCTCTGTCTTTAATCCTTCACCCAGAGCGCAAAAGATCTGTTTTTTTTTGGTAAGGGCGATGCAACCAACTCTCATTTTCATTCCTTACTTTCTTGGCTTGCGCTTGCTGCAGCCACTAGTCTTACTGTTCGTTGCTAGCATGCAAATTGGGCAGCAAATCCCCCATTCTGATTGGATGTCGCAGTCGAGTCGTCTTGCTGGAGCTGGTTGCTGGTGGCAATTGATTTTTTTCTTGCTCGTAGTTGCAAACTCACCTGCAGGACGTCGTGTTTAACATACTTCGACGCTGTGTTAATCTGATCTAGGTGTCCTTTTAGCAATATGATTTTTTTTGTTTACAGTTCTGTGTCGGCTCACTAAAGCCCACACATTACATTCAGTGTACTTGTAATTTGATCCCCACATCGCTAACCTAACTCCGCTGTTATAATCGTTTGGCGATGTTTTCATTCATCATTGTTTTGTGAGCGCCATTGTTTAATCAGAGGAGCTCGCATGACAATAGTGGCTAATACTGTCAGCAAATTAGTTAAACATTGTCGGAAACATGCTTTTATGCAAACACCCTCAGTTCACGCAAGCGTGTGTAGCGTTCAGGTTAAATGCAAGTGTTGTGAATCGTGTTTATTCACATCCCCCTAATCCGATCGCTCCACCTCCGACACAGGGTTCCCCTTTTCGCAGCGTGTTGTCAGCCTCGCGGATTCTCAACTCCTCCCTCGCTCACACCGATATGTATCTCGGATTATCCTTACACCTATGTCTCAATGCTAGCGCATGTATGACTCACACATCCGAGGCATAAATACACGCGCAAACCCCACACACGACACGAACGTGCTTGAGCTCCAAAGTAAACGGTCGTGTCCACGTCCTCTCCGATCTTTTTCTTCACCGCAGGGAAACGTGATCGGGCCAGGGTTAATTCCGTGGCCCCGGCGTGGTTCAGACCACATGCTGGGGCACACAACACTAGTAAAAAGCACACTTTGTGACCATCAGGGCAAAAGCCAGTCGTGTCTCACATTTACTCTTCCCCATCGGACGGCTTCTGCTCTCCCGCATACTGGGTCTCAGCTCTGTGAAATGTCACAGTCGCCCTGTATTAGTCACACGTTGTAGCCCTGGTTTATATACAACTTATACTTTACGGTGCAGGCGCTTACTAGGCACATGGGTCACTGTTTTCTTTTTTCTAGGCCATGGTACAACAATCGTACTGGATCTCGCTGCCTATATGCGCTCCCTTGAAGTGTTAAGGGAGTTCGTTATAAAATGCAACAATCCGGACCTCTGCCTCTTCCCTGCTCACGGAGAAGTAATTAACGACCCCATACGTAAAATCGATGAATACCTATCCAATCGAAAGCACCGAATCACACAGGTAGTGAAGGTCCCCCAAAAATACATTGTGATGGTGTGAGATCGCTTACGCCTTTGCAAAATGGCTTATAGGTGAAGGACGCATTCCTGCAAACTGCACCAGACACATGGGTGAGGGAGACAGCTCTACTAGAGGCAGTCTACCCCTCAGTTCCAGAAAACCGAAGGCTACCAACGCTGAACAACATTCGTCAGGCACTTTTCTGGCTCAAGGCCCATCACGAATCAAGCGTCTGCATTCCTTCTCCAGTTACATGCACTGCTCCTCACGAGGTACGCGATGAAAAGCTCTTCAAGGAGGCAACTGCGATAGCCCGCCCCGGCTACTTGCCCCAGATCCTTAAAGAGGAGTGGCAGTGGATGTGGACACCAAAGAACACTCATTGATACCAATTTCCGCATTGTGATGAATTATACACTTTTCGTTGTGAGTAGTCCTTAGACGTTGGGGACAGACTACGTCTCTAGTCCACCCGATCGCTGACTGAGAATGCCCACGTGCGTCATGCCCCCCTCAAGAGCGGAAGCACCACCTCCTTGGTGGTTTACAAATAAATAACAAGTTTGTGAATCATTATTATAGGAGAGAAGCAACATGACGTAAATTTGTAAAAATGGTGTGCAAAAGCATCAGGCGTGGGGTGAAAGCCATTGGTCACGGAAGGAGGAAGGTCGGCGTTTACTCGCCTCCGATCTCCTGCACCACAATCAGAGTATAGTCCTTGTCTGTGGTAGAAATATCAAAGAAAGCTAAATGTACACATTTTAAGGAAGTAGCAGGAGGCTCATTTAATTGCAGAAAACCTGAGACTTCAGAAATTATGTGTAAGAAAGCATAATCCGATGCATCTGTTTGGTCTGTATCTTTAGGCCTTTACAAAGGAGTCAAGTTAGGTTTAGTGAATGATCGATACTTTGAGGAACAGGTGAGAAATGCGGTGCGTCAAATAATTATAAACAGGGTAGGGACAAACCTGGGGCGATCATAATCTCGTTCTTCTTGCTTCGGATTCGCAAAAAAGTGAGATCGTTGGTGGGATCACCGTCACGCACACCAGCTCTCGACTTGGAGACAAGTTGCTGCGACAGAGCGCAGTAATGAACTGTCATCGGTTTATCCATGGTTGTTCGGATGGGCACAGCTAAAAAATAGAAAAAAAGTGATGATCGCGCAGCATTCCAAAATTAATGTCCGTGGGCAAAGATAGAAAGAATAATGGGTCTTGAAATAAGGGTGTTGCATAGCACTATGTGCAGCACCGTTCAACTAATGAGGACAAAACCGACGAGTGATCAGCTTTACAGGGTAGTTAAGATCAAACCAATGGAAGGGATGGTGGACGGAGGGAAATTAGTTTGCACGAGTTTCGACTATTGCCAATATGATATTTGTCTACAAGGATTGACTTTCGAAATTATATCAAAATACGAACTAACAATAGCGTCAAGTTCTATTGCAGAAGGAAACCAGCAAGTAAGACGCAAAATATGGTACCAAGGGCCGAGTTAAGAAAGAAATGCCCGCTCACCATCATTATTCATAACGATTACCCCCAGCACTCCTTTGTGCATTTGGATACGTTTAAAGGTGTCCTCCACTTCGTTCTGCAAAAATGGATTGAATATTAGTTTTCAAATGGTAGTAGAAACTGAGTACACAATAACAGCAATTATAAAATCTACAAATGGAGATTGTCATTGCTAACGAACATGGTGGCTTCGATGACACAGCCAAGACAAAATATTCCGAGGATTGAATATTAGTAAGCTGATATTTAGGAATCTTGTCGTGGTTTGACGCCGTGGTCTTGTACTATTTGTGGTTCATATGGCAACATGTTAAAAGGCATGTCAGCTCCATAACATGATTCTAAATAGCTCACTAAACTTATGCGCAAATAAAGACGCTTAGACAGAAGGTAAAATATGGACTAGCAGCCATGGAATAAGACAAACACGAATCTACAGCCAAATCGACGTGATACAGATGGACGACCTCCGCTTCCTGAGCACTAAAAAAATTCAATGGTTCATTTTCAGTTCATCGAAAACGAATAACGACTTCCGCGGACACTTGTATCGTAGTTTCTTTGATGGAGTTGGAAATAACATTTTGAGCTTCTGCTTTGCAAGGTTAAAGGTCTACATAAGCATGCCCTATTCCACAGGGAAAAATGTACGTTGATCGTTAGTAAAAAATGGAGGAAAGTGAGCAATTTTCACTGCTAAACACGACATTTTCCACATTACTTCGAAGTAAACAATTGGCCAGAAAAAAAACTTCAGGTAGTGAAACAGGAATTAAAATGAAAAAAATTATGCTGGGAATGCAGGCATATTACAACGCCTCCCAAATTGGAAGTAAATTTTTGTCACGAAGTTGTTCAATAGTTTAAACTAGGACTAGGCGAGGTACAACAAACAATTAATGAATTATGATCCACTGCATTAATATGCAATTATTCTCCAAAACGAAGCACAAACGTGAAAACCAACCATGATGATTGTTCGCTAGAAAACGAAACCCGTTTCCAGGACTCTAGTTCATGATACAGAAAAATGACCTTGAGTTTTGCCAAACAATCCATTGGCTATCTTTCATTCTATTTTCTCAATCGCAGGCAGGTTCAAAGTTTATGATTGCATTTTTCGGTAATATGATCTTTTATTTAAGCTAAATTACTGTCACCAATTGGATGTGTTTAACATCGAATACGGAACCGTCTGCAACTATTTATTTAGGCCCCACATAAAAAATGCCCATTTTGACTTGCTTCTTGGCCCTTTTATAGCATAACGAATCAGCTCTTAACGGACTATTGATGTATCATGTGAAACAGTTTTAAAATGATAAACTACTCTAAAATCAGGAGCCACACCAATTACTTCCATGTTATGCCAAAGTAGATAATCATGATTATCTGCTAACTTCATATTCTATAGGTAAATAACGATTCAACCGACTTATCCATTATTCAAACATAGTGCAGATTTTACCCAGACGCATCATAATCGGAAGGTACCAAAAGCAATTAGCAGCTGCATTTGTAAACTATCATTATTGGCTGCGTAAAGACTAATTATTCATTCTGTTACTCTAAAATGAGCTTTATTGACGAGATGCATATTTTGATTGCAATTCTATGACAGCGACAGAAATGAATGATTTTTGAACTGTTCATAGTAAATGATGTAAATAATCCTATTTTAATATTTAAAGTAGTTTTGAAAAAAGAACAGCTTACTGCTTATCATGAATTGTATAATATATCATTACCAACTTTTTCGACGAAGTCTAAAGTTAAAATGCAAGTTGTTCAAGTAACGAATACTCCTCCGAAAGTTTAGTGATTTGTAAGTTAATTTTTAATTGGTTCCAGCACGTATTTTTTTATTATATCTAGTAAAATTTTAGTGCTATAATATTCTTTCTTTGATTGCTTGTGCTTTTTATAAGTGTTTTTTTCATGCTGAATATACAGCTATCTGTTTTATAGACCTGAATTGAGTTTCAGAATTAACTGGCAAATTTAGGAATACTTTTTGATGATTAAATAGCCTACAACTGATAGTTCATTCGTTATATAAGAGCCTTTTATTTAACATGTACCATATCATGCATGAGCAAAAGCGGCTGTCAAGCCCGAAAAAATATGTGCTTTACTTTTTGTTTTTCTATTAAATAGAATAAGTCTAGAAGATATGATAATACATTTTAATGCTTTAGATGCCTAAATGCGTTTTAAATATGAGCATAGTTTTGTTAAGACTTTTGTGTATTAAGTTGTTTTAGCGGATCACCATCAAACCGTTTGATGACCCATTTTACTTGTGTTTTCAAGACTTGGTTACAAGTCCTCGCTGTTTGCATTGTACCACTGTAAATTTTCTCTTCCCCTACAACTATACTATTGTACCTGCAGCATTAGCCATCGACAATGGTAGAGTTATTTTACAAATATTTTGTTGTTTTTATTACCCTTATTTATTCTGCATTTGTCATGTAGTACTTAGGTTATTTACAGATTTCTTTCTTTTGAGATTCAAACACATTTATTGCTGGCACCGTTTAAAATGCAATATGTCAAAGAAACTGTTTTGTGGTGTGTTTTAATGTGTTTTTTTACCATCGAGGCAATTATCTTTCAGCTAAATGTCTCGAAGCATATGCAGTCAATGTTTAATTTTACCACTATTCCATTTAAATTATTACATTTTCTGTTGCATTATTTTTGTGCTAATAATGTGGATATAACAGATATTCTACTTTTATAAACCTTGATTACCGTTTTTAAATTTAGTAATGTGAATGGTAATCAAGCCACTTTTGGCGTTATAAAAGTCAGTACATATTGCTGGCTGATTTCTGTAAGTGAAAGTCCAGAACGTAATGTTTTGTGGTGAATTGAGTTGTAATCTATTGAACTGGAACCTTTCCATATTATATTCTCAAATGTGCCCACAAAATACGTTCGGCATTTTTAGGTAGGAGTGCATTTTGTGGTTCCTAAAGATTTTTGAATGGGTTTGTTGTCTAATTAACAGCACTTAGTATATCCTTTGTTACTTAATTAATTTAAATTACTTGGTGCGTAAATTATGTCACAATAATAGTGCTAGACGTTTTATTTATTTTACACTAATCAAAATTTTGTTCTTATTATCAAAGCTATTGAGGCCATTTCTTATTTGTGGCTCCTATGTCTCATTACTTTTTATGCACAGTAATTACTTAAGGTTTTTATTGCGTCTTTACCTTAACCCTAACTTTCATTTTTGACGCACATTTGTGAGTTTGTTATGGCTTATAATTCGTCGAAATTAATCTGTCCACAAGGATAAAATTCATTTCTCTTTGTTTCGCATCTTCCGGGGTGTTGTTTATGGAAAAGAAAGTAAATATAGGAACTGTAAGCAGTTACTAGTTTTGTAAAGATAGTAAAATTTCTTGGCATGCCAAATGTTTGCTAAAATGTTTTAGAAAAGTAAGTAGGTGGAGAGTTCGTTGGGCATCTATAAAACGAGCTATGGTGTGTTAATTATATCTTACCTGTTTCTTTCTTTTACACTTAGGCATTGCAAACTACAAGATCAGCTAAATTTTTGATAGAATTATTTATAATAACAGGAATGAATAATATCTGAAACCTTTTCCATAATTATTTTTACTATTGAAATCAAATTTCTTGGAGAGAGCATTCATTTGTTATTGAATGGGACTTTTTGTAAGAAACAATAAGTATTTGTTCCGTAGGAGTTGAGTTGTCATTCGCGAATTCGATCGTGCAGGTGTCTGACCTCAACAATAAAATTCTTTTCAGAATTTTATTAAAAAGGGTGTCTGTCTTCGCCAAACTATAATGCTTAATGATTTAGAGAACCAGAAATGTGTTTAACAAAGTAGCAAGCGACTGTGTCATAAAAAGTCATGTGCGTATGTAACAATGAATAAGAACACTGTGACCACACATACATGAATACTCTCAGATTATTTTGCCAAAGTGGCTCTGTTTGCTATGTTACGATTTCAACATACATGTAACAAAACTCGCATGGTCTTAAGCAGCAACGGTCTTATATGTCGCATTTTAAAATTGTCATCATCTATGCATTAGTAAATCGTACTTTTTCTTTCAGATGCATATTTTGACCCCAAAACTGCTTTACTAGGACTGTCAGTCATATTGACATATTTTTTTCAATGCCTGCATTACTAAAGCTGGCATATATTGCGTTACTCTGATTTGTCAGGAAATTTTCGTGATGACATCTAAACTGCTGTGAAAAGATTGTCGAACACTATTAAACTTTTACTACTATAACAAAAAGTTCTGTTTGTCTGGCAGAGTCGTGGCATTCCAAAGGAGGGAAAGGTAACTGCGTCTTAAAATTTTCTTTTTTACAATGTTCCTTGTTTGCCGTTGCATGCTTTTGAGCTATATCAATATTTGCATTTCACTAGTCGAAAATGTCTGAGTGTAAACACCACTAGTGTCATATAATTTTAGACAGAAACAGACGAAATTCTAAAACGACTTCGAAGTCATGATGGTGTTGTCGGTGTGATTGTTTCAAATCGGGAGGGTAAGGGCTGAGTTTGTGGTACACTGGTTTCCTGTTTAACCGAATTTTTTTATTTGTTGGCTTTTTCGCTTTCATCTCAACATTTAAAATATTCTGTTTTTTTTTCTCTTAACTATTTCGGTGATGCATCATGATTGCAACTAATTTTGAGGTAAAACTATACGCAGAACGATAAGCACATTATACTAATTATAATAAATGAATAATCTACTAAAAATTACCAGGAGAACAGAATGCAAGAATTTCTCTGTTGCAGTAGTTCTCCTAACATCTTAGTTTGCTGACAGTAGTAACTAGGACCGCCGGTGACCAATATAGGTGCGTCCATCCTCAGCACATCTTGTGCACACCTATTACTAACTTAATGTTTTCCCTTTTACTGTTAGGAATAGAATCCTACGACGCAATCACATGGTTACTTGACATTGAACAGACTGAATGACTGTTTTTATATCATGTTCTCTCAACATTTAGCAGACTAACTTTATATACCTTTGATTCCTTGAGAGCAACCGCTAAATAAAGCTGTCCCAAAATATTTCTGAATTTTGCCTTACCATGACCCAAAAAAGTCATCACAAATTGCTTTTAAATATTTCTGTCATGGCCGTGTATTGTTTTCTAAGGTATTGCCATCCGATCTACACTTGAAAATAATTTAACTGTACACTACTGTGGACTCATTCAAGCGCTGATGAACAAGTCGATCAACGTTGTCAAGGACTTGGATCCCTCAAACGACTTGACGTTTCTGCGTGTTCGAAGCAAAAAGAATGAAATTATGGTAGCCCCGCGTAAGTTCACGCACAGTTTTTAGCATCAAGCTTGCTTCTTGGTCTGCTTAACATTCAAGTAAAGGTGTAAAGAACTTTATTGTTTGTAGAGAGAGACTACCTGCTAATTGTGATTCAGAAAGCCTGAGGTATTACTACGGTGATAACGTAATGAGATTTGCTCGCGTGTATTAAAAATGTTATCTCGACTGCATTTGTTCTTCATTGGAAATTTTTTCACAGAATGTCTTTCTTTGTTCAAAACAATTTACACCTCATCGAAGTAGATCGGTTTGTGGGGCGTTTAGTTGCGGGCAAAGAGTCGTCGCTTATTTTAATTTTTCTTCATGCTAGCAATTGAAAACGACAGCATTCAATATGCATCACATGTTAAGTCATTTCGTTTATTCTTGGAAATAAAACAATAATACTAAATTACCCTAGCTTCAGATCTAGAATTCCCAGTTTACATAACAGAGGATCTCTTGGTAAACGTTTTGACATTAAGAAACAGTTTTCCGTTTGTCATTTTGCTGACAAAAAGGTTACAACACATTAATTAGGTTATCAATATTCTCATAAAATTTTGACAGGGTAAGTAAAACCATTGTTTTAAAACCCTCTTGATAAGAAACAAAAATGGAAAAGTACTGCACAAATACATCATGGAATATTTGATGCTGGTAAAAACTAGATTAGATGTTGGTAATAGGTCCATTGATATTTACTCCAAATCCAACTGCTGAATCCCATCTGGTTTATTAGTAAAGCGTTTGAAGGTAAAAAAAGAAGGAATGTGTTTATTTCAGTAGCTACACAAGTTGGGGTAAAAACCAGAGGGACAATTTAACCATTTTATGCGTGAAAACGGAAAACTTCTAGTTAGCTTGGTACTCCGAAAAACGTGAAATTTATGAAGGTGGCAATCTTTCCTCATTAAATTGTTTTACTTTGTGATAGCTTGGTGTCCCATGCATATGCCGAAGGTAGGTATGTGAAAGCAACCTTTTCTTAAAGATTTAGGGAATGAACACTGCCGTTGTGGTGCAAGATATTATTTATTCCACAAAATTTAATTTCATTCCTAGAAACTCACAAAAGTTTTGGTATGTTTTGAGCATTAAAAACAAAGTAAAGTTCTTGGCGTTTGGCGCTCAAATTCGCATAAAGTGGATGATGCGAGTCCAAGGTGATGAGGCATATGGATAAATAGCATATGACTTATCATTTGGCTCTTTGATAAAAAAAAACTTGTCTTTCTTATTTAAAAATTGTGAATTTGAGGAACTTTGCTGAAGTTGTTTTCGGGAACTGAACAAGAGAACTGATGTGAAACCACAAAAAGTACTAAGCCACATAAATCAGAGCGCCCTAACCTGAGTACCAGTCTGTATTAGCTTAAAGTAGTAGACTTAAAAAGTTAACTAGTGTGTTTCTTGAGTGAAGTTAAGTTCAACCAGTTGTAAAGTTGCAGTTTAAAACTTAAAGGCATAAGTAAATGTGTGTTAAGTCGGAATAAAAATTCAAATTTATTTATCATCGGCGGTTCAGCAGCTTCGCTAAAGGTCTGCAGGCCACAAAATCAAATTAAAGACAGCCAACCTTAAGATAAATGACTTAAAGTTTTAACTGGAGAGGACTTTATTTGTAATCTGAATGCATTCTAAACGTCCATAGAATAAGTAACTGATTCACTCCATTAAGGAGTAGGTTTACTCGAATGACAGAACAGATTTTTGATGCTAATAGAAACACTCTACCAAACAAATCGAATGCACACTGCCTTCACAAATGTAAAAGTGATGAGAACACTAAACAATTACATTAACGTTTTATATTGCAAGACATGAAAGTTAAAAGTAGAATAACAATTTATTAACAATGCTTGAATACAGTAAAAGAAAGGAGATATTTTGAAAGAGGTGCATTCCACTCTTTGTTAAAGTGACTTGTAAATATCTCTGATAGCCTTAATGTGCAGATACAAAATGACCTACAGTATTTACACTGGCTCTAATTACACCATGTACAAAATTGACAAATTAATATGAATTAAATTTACACTCCACTTGCTCATGAAGCCACATGTTTCATGCTATAGTTTTTCACACTACAAAATAATAATGTGATCTTCAGAAATTGTAGAGAATTTGTTTGGTGATCCTGGAAGTAATGAAGTTAATATACACCAGGATAAGTGCCTAGGTGCAGCCGCGAATTTCATGCTCTCGGATTAATCTTTAATGTGTGTATACGACGGATTTGGGCAGTCAGCAGCAGGCGATAACTATATCCGCCCAGAACAAAAAAAGCGTTTTGGCGTCTAATGTTCAAAACATAGACCCTTTGTGTGTCTCTCATTTCCTGTAGTAAACTAATTATTTCTGCTTGAACCACTTAAAACATCTTTACGCACCATGGCGACTCAAGGGCAGCGACCGCGCATTAATCTAACTTTCGGGGTTGCAGTGTGGAGAATGCACGGTCACAGACTTGGGCCCGATAATGCTATTTCAAAATTGCCTGAAATTATTATTGGAGATAAAGATGCAAAAACCTATATCTTTGATCTATATTTGGTTGATATGGCCCGTGTGTATAGGGAAGAGAAGGAGGATCAGCGTTTAATTTGCAATCACACTCCTAAAGAATTGCTACACACCGCTGTAGGTCTTCTTTCCGTCAGCCTTGTGTCCATGGATAAAACAACAATTTATGAAGCACTTACTGAGAAATCATCTGTTACACTATTCTTTATATCAAGAGATGATGACTGTGCTGAATATTTATTGGAAAAAAATGCACGGGTTCGTTACTAAAATTCAGTGTTAACTTACCTTAGTAGATACTTGAAAACAAAAATAAAAGTAAAAAGAGTGAAAACAGTGCGTTGATGAAGAAGCTCCAAGATGCGTTTCAGGCTGCAAGCTCTAGAAATCCAGAGGAAGAAGATGCCTATGAATCAGGTGTTGAAGAGACTTCAGACTTTGGACTGGTGTTTTCTTCTGACATCTCAAGTGGATCTGAAGCCGAAGACGAAGAAGAGGCTAAATCGTCCTCTGATGAAGAGTCAGTAAGAGAAGGAGGAGATAATGAAAATGCAGACGAGGCCTACGAAATAATGGAGGAAGGATGTGAGGAGTCGAATTGTACATCTACAAGTAGCGAAGAGGGTGACCAAATTACAAAAAAGTGCTCTAGTGGATACTATGCGTTTTTATCATCATGTCTAGAGCGAAAGATTATGATAAAAGAATTTTTTTCCTGTGAGAGCAACGTTGCAAAAAAAAATGTTTTACTGACAATGCTAGGACCAGAACATAAAATGGCCGCTGTTTGCAATTTTCGTGTTCGAAGGGTTGACAATAAGAAACGCGTAATCCACATCACATTTTTGTCAGTGCGGAAGCACTTGCGGAGACTTGGTATTGGAACTAGAATCATTGAAATTATCAAAACACCTCAGATGTCTGGCCATTACGATGCCATGGTAGTTCATGCTGATTTAAATGCCACCGAATTTTTCGCTAATAATGGCTTTTCTGGCGATCCTCTACTTAACAAACAGTGGGCCTCATTTGCTGGAGAATACGTCAACTGCTTGCTAATGACTTACTTTCCACCTTTGTCGTTCGGTGCCTCTACCACTAATGGATCGAAGCTTCTAAAGTCCATTGATAAATCCATCGACGATTGGCTGGTTGCTACGGGAAATGTGCACCAAATGCAGTATACTCTTTGCAAGCGATTGCGTGCGGAAGTTGTTAGGCTTCAAAATCAGTTACTCTCACAGGTTTGTATTATTGTAAATCCATACTTTTGGGGTCCTGTTTAGACTGAGTTTTTCCCCGGAGGTTTTAGATTAGTGTTGCTATAAATAATTTCAATTTGAACGTCAAATTAACTTTAAAAGGGTGATACAATGTATTTCAGGTTCTGGTTTAGGACTATAATATGTATTTGTAGTCAAAGGTTGCTCATTCTTGGAGATATTTGTTGGTTGCTGTTGCACAATTGACTTTTTGACCTTACGTAGACTTCTTACCCATTTAAAAATAATAATAGGATGCAAACCTAGTTTTTTTTTCATTTTACGTATGTTAAAAGTTCACTACTCATTTCTGGCTTGTAAAATATGGCTTTAGAAGATTTTAGGTTTGTGTCACAATGCGTGATTGTTATTCGAGGTATTTAGTATCGTTTTTTACATTTTTTAATTGAAAGTTTGCCTAACGCTAAAACGTCTATTTCCAGTTTTCAAAAAAAACACTTATTTTCCAGAACTCTCTACAATACGTAATGATAAAGAGTTTGGCTTAATCAGTAGTTATGATGCTTCAAGGAAAATCTGTACATTCTGCAATGACCATTTTCGACAGGATCTGTTTTTATTCTACTAACTAGTGGGTTGGTGTCATCCAAAACTCTTATTCACAATAGCACATGCATATTCCTGTCTAGGACAGTCTGATACAAGTGCTGAAGCGTGAGGTCGTAAAACAGGCTCACCTCATTGATGCTCTTCGTGCAAGGGCTGTGGCCAACGGCCAAAGAGACGGCGACGAATCTCTTGGTCTAAGCTTGGACGCCATCAGTTTTTCTACGCTCCCTCCCCCTATGAATATGGAGTCTCGTCTGAGCCTGGGTTTCAAGGGTGTCACCTTTAAGGAATGTGCCGGGGATATGGACTAAGTGTCAGGTAGTCGCATGTGTGGTTTTGACTGTTTTATCCCATCAAGCCGAAAATCAACGTTAGACCAACTTTGCTGATGACAATTTTTGAAACTATTTACGTAGTCTTCGATCTGGATCTGCTTCACCGCTCTTCTTAAAAGCAAATGCAAAATCAAGGGCTATGCCAAGTTTCTACCTAAGGAGTATGTAAAAATATAAGAGGCTGCTTACACAACAATTGAATAAATGTCACTGTGAAAGCAGTTATGTAGGCCCACAAACCAGAATGATCGGAGTATGAATTTCGACGCTAAGCAGATTTTTTAACTACTTTTTGTGATAGTTATGTGCAACCTTACCTACCATTCGTTTTAGGCGCTCTTTTTGCATCTCTTATGCAAATAGTAAACTGTAGTTTGGGCATCTTACTCCTGGCATTGAAATAATGCCTTCAGCCCACACACAGAATTTTGTCCTGGCATTAATTTTAGGTTCACCAGAGCGTAACTTGCAATGTTTAATGCGAATAATGGAAAGTACGTCCTTGAACAATCATCATATTACTAACAGTAGCCTTGACAAGAAATCGAAGCGATCCTAAATTTGACTATAAATAACGACGGTAAAAAGACACCTCTTGTGACAAGGTCACAGACTCAGATATTAGTAAATGACGTAAAGTATAGAATCACACCAAAGCCTTGACCAGTTAAAATAAGTTGAAATTGCCCACAGTGACATCCTTTCCAGGCTACGTGGTTTCGCTCGAGTTGTGAAATCCGCTACCTTAACTGCTATGACTTATACTTCCAGTGAATTTCTTAGAATCCTACTCAAAATCACAGAGGCATCAAATTGTATTTTTATATATAAATTAGAAGTCTTATTTGATTAGCAGTCTTCTGGTGACGTTATTTTTGTACATCCTTGCCATGTCTATAACTATTTGATGTCTGTGTGGTTGTTGAAGGCTACGGCATGTGGTCTTGAACCACGCGATTGCTCTACCCTGATACCTCCGAAGATGAAGAAGGCCAGAGAGGGCGATGCACAGCCGTTTGCTTGATAGTTCAACCAAGCTGTGCCCCACTCGTGCATGTCTAATAGACTTCAGGTGAACTATTTAAAGTTCAAATGTCTAAATAGTTAGATGGCTAAAGCGGGTGGTGGTGGTATGTGCACAGGGGTGAATGAACAGCAGGCCCCGCATGGCTGACGGACACGCCGTGAAAAGGACGACATGTGTCTTAGACTGCGATGGTCTGGTTAGTGGACGTAAATCACCGCGATTTACCACACGTTCAGCATCACATACGGTATTAACAATTTGCATGTTTAATAGTTGCGCGACGAACACATGATTTCAGTTAAACGATTACCCGTAAAAATAAGCGCTTGGTTCTTGTGAACACCAACAATAATTCTAATTGTAATATCCTTTACAAGTAATGCCCTTTAAAAATAAGTATTTGCGTTATTGTTTTAAAAATGGTTTATAAAAATTTGGATTTAAGTATTTTTGCAATTTTCATATGTAATACTAGGACATCCAAACTTTGACTTATTTATATTCCCGTGATTGTGTCGCAAAATTTTATAATAACTATAACTTGATTGTTGTGTGGAGACACTCATAGTGGAAAGTAGATACCAACGTTGCTTATTACTCTAATACCCTGGCGTGTCTGCGACCTCTTATTTACAACTTTATGCATTTACACCATACATATGTAGCATCAACAAGCACAGTATTGAAGGCCTCGTGGTTCTACTGATAAGTACATTGTATTTGAGAATGCATGAATTTTGCCGAAAGTACTTAGGGCTTCACAATTAATAAAGTCCCTGGTATCATTGTGCCACTGCGCAGGCAGCTAAAGTTGTCAAGACAAGTTAAAGTGTTTGATGGAAACTGTCTAATTCTGTGGCATCCAACATTCGAGACCGTTGGGGTGGATTGGTAAATAAAACAGAAGCAAACCTTTGAAGTCCCCCTCTATGCTTTTTTTGAGACTGTAGGCCGAGGCACTAACTTTGCTTACACATTTTAGACGCTCTAGTATATATTGTGTGAACTACCATAAGCTGTCTAATAAGCTGTATGCACTCACCAAGAAACCATCACTTTGAGTTTGATCGAAACAGAATTATCAGTCGGCACGTGGGATGTCTTGACGCTCTGCAAGTCGGTTAGCATTCCACTGTATTGTCCCGATTGCTGCTATCCAGAACGCCACGTACTCTTACCCACTGCTCTTTCTTGCAGCTAAACATCATCCTTTTTGTGCTGTTTTACTGTAATTGACCTGTCAGTCTGCAACATGAGCACATGGGGCTTCACAGTCGTACAAACGTTGAGTGATTGTGCCCCGGAAGGAAGGACCGTGGTCCAATTTCCGAGTTCTGTTGGCTCTGTGTGGTTGATAGCTTGCAGACGCAAATTTATGGGTTTACTGATGGTTGTGTTGAGTACTGCGTGATTGGCCAGTCTGGGGCGCAATCATCTGCTGCCTTTCCTGTACTCATGGACCGACCTAAAAACACCAATTTATCCTCTTTGCACTGTGTGCTGTCATCCCACATTAATTTATAACTCCTGTCGATTTTAGCTTACGCAATATGTCTACCCGAGCTTTCCAAACCAGTTCTCCACTTATTGCCAAGTTTTGTGCGTTTCCGTTCAAGATTGCTTTGCAACAATGTAAGCAATTTGCTATCTTACATATTTTTAAATTTTCGAAAACATGGATTATAACTAGTAGTCTGAAATTGCTGTTGTTGTTTTTTTTTATTTTTTAGCAAAATCAGTGAAACAGTGATGACTGTGGAACGCATTTGACCACACTTTGATTCTGAGAGCTGAAATCTTACAATACCAAGAGACAGTGAAGCGTTTATGTAACACGATTATTTGAGATCTGCAGGATGCTGCTCCATAAATCATCATGTTCTTTTTAAATCAAGACCTAGATTGAGGCACTGGGTCAAGCGTTTGCACTCGAACGGCTTTATTGGCAGCGGGTTAAGTGGAGTTCACACTTACTTTTTTCAGAAAGAGCTGAGGAAGGTGTTTATAGTTCATGTTAAATCGAGGCCAGTTGTAAAGTGTGTTTTAGGCTTGCCGCCTAGCTTGTTAACACACTGAAGCCAGGCATGTTCCTAGACTCATGTGAAGCCTCTGCATTACGGTACGTACAGACAAAGCGCAAATAATATTCTCCATGTTTAAGTTGCTAGTTAAACCACGTGGGAAAGTCAACTACAACGCCATACATCGATCAGTCTACTTCACACTGATCACTTCCTGTATAGCCCTCCTGTACCGGGCAGAGCATCAGTATATGCATTTGAATTATGTGACTTAACCAAACACAAACTGCATTTCGGTAATGAGACTTACTAAACCAAATCAAAATTAATTACTCAGCTTCGTCTACACCTTTATCGGAACCACTATGTGGTCTGCTGTCTAGGTACTTTGTTACTTGAAAAAATAGATACTTAGCTGCGGACAAATGGCTTTTTCTTTTGACAGCAGTCTTGGCTTATAGACTGCTCACGAAAATGAGACTTTATTGACTCGAGGTTTGTGTGTTGACTTTTCCACTTTGAAGTTAAATTGCCAAAATATATAAAACAGCATAAATTAACCTTTAATTTAAAGGTCGTTAAAGTATGGGTTAATTGAAATGTATGTACGGGGCTAGAATTTAACACCACCTTACAACTCTCTAGTTAACAAACCGTAGCAGCTTGAGAAAAAAGGCATTCAACTTGTGAATACGCGTCACTCACGCTCGTTTGGTAAAAGTTCACTACGTATATTCCCTCCCGAGAGTGTGGTCTGTGAAACAGTGAACGCTCAAAAACTATCAAACAGAATCAGCAAAGCGAACAACGGGTCTCAGGGGTCGGCCAAAACGGGATTTTGGGCAGGGTGGGGATACGGGAGATTGTAGAGTAAGTTTGTCGCTGCTCGAGAATGTGGGAGGAACTTTGGTGTCTCCCGCATAAGCAGCTTTGAGAAGGTCTGTGCTCACAGTATCCAGCAAACCATTTTTGTCAATTACGAAAAATTTGTCGGCGCGTTCTACCACTTTATCGACCCCAGATTTGTGTGATGACTTTTGCACTTTGAAGCCAACATTCGAAAAAGTCCAAAACAGCATAAATTTTAAATTTCAAATTCTTATCCTCGTAAATGTTGTTAAATTATAGGTTAATTGAAAAGTATGACACATTTTCAAGTGCCAGTTATTAAGTATTTCACTGTTGATAGTGTTGTGGACCCCAGCATGTGGTCCTGAACCACGCCGGGGCCACTGAATTAACCCTGGCCCGATTACGATTGCCTGATGCCCGCGATGAATAAGAAGACCGGAGAGGATGGGACACAGCCGTTTACTTCAAAGCTCAACCAGAATTGGTGTAGTTGTGTCGGGCTTGCGCGTGTGTATTTATACCTCGGATGCGTGGGTCATCGAGATCTAGGTGTGAGGTTAATCCAAGATACACATACGTGTGAATGAAGGGGGGAGTTGAGGATTTGCGCGGCTGTCGCCGTGCTGCGAGAAGGGGAGCCTTATATCGGAGGCGAAGCGATCGGATTAAGGAGTTGAATAAACACGATTCACAACAATAGTGTTTGTTCATAACCAGACAATAAGTTGATCCCGATAAATTTCGCATACTGACCTGGATCCAATTTCTAAAATGCCTCTTTCGAATAAAAAATGTATTGATTGAAGGTACTAAACCAAAAATGCGATATTGTCCGTAGCAAATCCTGAAATAAGATTAGTGTAAAAAGGTATTGCCGACTTATCCGTGATATATTCCCCTCTACCAAAACACGAGCAGATTGTATTTGAAGCTACAAAAATCGTTCAAATGTGATTTGTCAAAGTGTATACTTGCGAAAATGAACGTCATCAAACGAAGAGAAAGGATATTTACCCACAAGAAGCATACTTTAAGCTACCAATAAAAACTTAGTTTCGATGCCGTTTGTGTGCGATGGAGTTACTGGGTTCTTTTATGAAAGAAACTACAATCCAAACTTAAATAAATTCATGAGTACGAGACTAATGCTAATCAGCTGATAGGTCAATAATTCAAACTAAGATCTGTGTATGTAAGTTATCTCTTAATTCAAAAAATCGTTAGAAGAAGAACAAGAACACTGATGGCACATCATTTTGGCCCGCCTCCCACTCTAACAGTTTATACCAGGGACAGAAAAAATAAGTATGTCATTCCTTCTGTGTTTGCACAGCCAGGCGAAGAACTGTTTCGTGGTCGCCGACAAATTCACGTTCCTAAATTCGCCAAAACGGTCACTACAGCTGTGGACACAAGTGAACTTGAAAGTCGGTATCCTTCGTTCAAGATGCCCTCATCAGTGAGGCTGGCCATACTTAACCTGGTTTGTGAGCTACGTGACGACCCAAAAATTTACTTTAATAGCCAAGAAATCGCCAGCCTCCTGCAAATGTACTATGCTATCACCAACTACAAGGTGAGGGTGATGACGCAAGCTGAATTTGAGGACTTTCTTGTTGGCACTCTGGGTATAACAAATCCCTTGTCGATAGCTGGTTTCAAGAGAGCCACCATTCTGCTTCGTAATAAAAACAGACGACCTGATAAACGAGGTATTCCGGCCGATAACTTTATCCACATGCTGTCATTCTACTTGCGGGGAAGCATCGTGGATAAGGCTGAACTGGCTTTCAAAGTCATCGATATAGACCAGGATGGATTGCTGAGGAGACCGGTGGAATTCCAGCACTTCCTTCAGGGCTCATTTGACCCCGAGATCGCCGCTACGCATGCAGAAATCGACCCTGAACAGCCAGTGAGAGAAACAATTCAGTATCTTGTAAGCAAAACTCGCGCCTCTTCAGAAAATGGCCTTGATTTAAAGGCGTTTACGAATTTAATAGTCAAAGAGCCTTGGTTAATCAACTGTCTTGTGCCCATCTCTTGTCCTGAATTAGATAATATTGCCTTCCAAAGTCTCTTTACAATGAAACTTCCAGCATCGCTGCATGAACGAACATGAAGCAATACACAATATGGTAGTAAAACTTTTCATAACAGTCGCTAGTGTCTGTTGGAATGTTCTTGTACTTTGTTGTCAGTACAATAAACTTGGTGGATGCACCTTAAGCACTCGATTTTCTTATAATGGCTCTGGTTTACACATCAGAATTCAATCATTTTACAAATAGTTTGATCACCTAACTATTGGTATAGAATGGATTGTTTTTTAACGATTCACGCAAGTTCTTCGAAATTTCTGTCATTTAAAACTATTTTAGATATCTTCAGAAAACCCCACACAATTGTTAAGAATAGGTCGAGGATTCAGGTGGACTATTTCAATAGCACAAACTGCCTGATTCTGATTAATAATACTGTGTCGACAGGGTGTCTTTGCAGCCAGATAAGATGAAGCACATTTAAACATGTGCTCTGCTATAATTACTAAATTGAAACTTAAAATAATCTGAGTTTGGAAAACCAAAAGTCTGTGTGCTTAGAGGATGTGATTTCGCATATTAATTGTGGGAGGAAATCAGAAGGATTTTTTTTCAGTGCTTGTTTTGTTCATGCAGTTTCGCATTTTGTTCCTTTTTCTTGTTTCACCTCAGTCCTGGAAAAACCATTGCTGTGAATGGAACCCCGTGCTTTGGGTGCAAATTGGCCTGGGTCCTTTTTCTTGTTTTTACTTGTAACTAGGTGATTTCAGATTGACTTACTTTGAAGCCAATAGAACAACAAAAACAAACTTTTATTTGGACTAAGATTCAAATATAACCTTTTTTTTCTGAAACTCTCACATATTTATTCCAGTTATGTCGATAACGATTTAATTATTTGTCGCGTTTTAGATAAACAATTCCGTCGAAACAAGTAATTATTGGTAGTTGTTAAGTTAAAGAAATGCTACGAATGCAACAGAAATTTGGAAAAATTGATGATTATGCTTCACACAGTGGCAATATTTTAGTTCACCCGAAATCTGTGAAAACTTAAGGGTACAAAACTAGTATGAGAAGTGTCCATATCTGGTGAAATCCTTCTGAAGCTTTTTGCAATCAGAAACATTGGATTTTTTGGACAATCAGTTTGTTGTAGGCCCCGCATGTGGCCTTGAACCACGCAGGGGCCACGGAATTAACCCTGGCCCGATTACGCTTCCCTGCTACCCGCGATGAAGAAAAAGATAGGAGAGGACGTGGACACAACCGTTTACTTCAGAGCTCAACCACGTTGGTGTCGTTGTGTCGTGTTTGAGGTTTGCGTGTGTGTATTTATGGCTTAGATGCGTGAGTAATAAGTGCCCTAATATCGGGACATGGGTGTGTGGATAATCCAGGATAATCGTTTGCGGTAATGGGGTGGTAGTTTAGGGCCCGCGTGGCTGGCAACACGCCGCGAAAAGGGGTCCCTGTGTCGGAGGCTGAAGTGACCGGATTATCGAGTGAGAATCAACCCGAGTCACTGCAAGTTACTTCAAGGGTGTGCGAAATGTATTCTGTTTTGCTCTTCTGGCAATGTATTTTGTTGAGGTGTAAATCACAAATGTTTTTAAAATCTGAAAAAAAGTGGTTACGTTTTTTGGTTGTCCAAAAATTTCGGCTTATTAATTATTGTTCTATGCTCTGACTAATATGTGTGATGTCCAACTGTTCGGAGATTTCGAGGCGATTCCTCCAAAGAGATTAGAATTTTTGTGCTCAAAACGTGTTTAGTTCAACAAGAACGAGAAAACTGATCCCAAATTTCAGTATACGAGGCTCTCCCGAACAGTGTCAAGTCAAGTTTTGACTTCTTGCCAAGCAATTTCGAATGACTGATTTTTCTTGCTTAATTGGGACAAGAAATGTGACGATTTCACGGATATGCTTTTTTGATTTGCCCATGGCACTTTACAATATTGTTATTTCCACTTTTGTTGAAGCAGGTAAAGGTGGATAAATTTTACGAAAACTCGACTGACTATCTTACATAACTTAGCTTCCACTACATATAGGTTAGCTTCAATTATCAGCATCCGAAATTTCACTTTGCCTTTCTCCCTTTGTCAGGTGGTTATTGGAAAACGGTCACTTTGAGTAAATCAAAAAATCGTACGACGGACGATTCTGACACATTGTATGTCAGCATAGCCTGTATCGCTGAGCCAGTCTTCGCAGTGCTAGGGCACGGACACCACAAGCTGGAGTCTGGTGCGGGTGCAGCTTGCTTTAATACCTTGACCAATTGGAGATATGCTTCAAGGCCGTTTTTTAATTGGCCCTTTCAACAGGCCAATGGAGTTTGGCACAATTGAACCTGTGTTGCTGCGTTTTTATTGTAACCGGACATCCGATGCCTGTTAAATGTCAGGTTTTCTGGTTACTGCTAATCTGGTCTCTTTTGACAATTACTTCAGCCGGAATATGTTGCTTCTGTTGCTTGTTGCCTTTCTGGATTTCAGGCACCGTTTTATTGGCCTCAAGTGGGGGTAAATTGATTAGCAGTACCAGCCACTTGGGCCTCTTTCGTCGTTGTGGATACCCAAATTATAGAGGTGATGGAGAAATCGACTGGAAACCGGGATGTGGGTATTATCCCTCCCTGAAGGGTGTTCCTCATTGGGTCTGGAGAATGGCTTTAGTCCTACTTGTGCTCTCGGCATGCCTACTTGTATTTCTGGCTGTTTTCGTGATATGTGCAGTTACATCTTCGTGCATACTTCGGAAAAAAGTACGACTGCGCCGAGTTTGCTCAAGTGGTTATATTGTTGCGGGTAAGTGTATCAATCAAACTCAAGAGTGTTACGCTTTACCGTCAACTCAGTCTTCTATTGCATATTTTCAAATAAATGTTTGTGTGTTGCTGGCCATGAAGTTCTTAAATAACAACTGTATCAGTCCAGGAAATAAGTCTTGGAGATAATACTTTAAAACCCCATTTAAATGGATGATTCAGCATCCTTGAATGAATGGGAATTACTCGTATCGGACCATTAGTAACTATTTATCGATGGCTAAATCTTGCCTTATTCACCTCCTGCTTTCGAAATGCACGTCTAATTTCTGATAGCGGTTTCAAAAAAGATAAATCTAAAAAAAAAATTAATTGAGAATCCTCCAAGCCTTAAAAATTGGCAAAGGATTGCAAAGCTCTAAATAAGGTAGTGAAATTCGTATTATTTGGTCCTCAGCAAATTTTTGCAATTCACTTGAACTCCGGCCGTCACATCCAGGTTAGGCTGAATCATCGCGTCGCGCACAATTTTTTAAGCATTTTGTGTGACAGGCAGCTGCTGACTGAAGTTTTTGGGGTTAACGATTCACTCGCTCGTTGGAGTATATTGCACCTATACTACATTTTATTATTTTCACCTATCCACAGCCATGTTCCTTGTGACATTATTTTCATCACGCTTTTTCAGTTTTGCGGTGTTCTAGGTTAACGATTAGCGTTCTCAGGTTTACATTAACTTTAAATGCAGATCACGAGATTTACGACTTTAATGGACCAAGATCAACACATTGTTAAACCCTTTTCCTGTGTAGTACAGAAATGTCCAGCACTACTAATTGGTTCCCACCAGAAGCAGTTGTTTTGATCTGATGATTCACAAATGAAGGTCTCCATAACTCGCATCATTCCCCTCTTTAATATGAAACCGAATGTCTTATAAACCCCAGAAGTGCTACTGTGGGTGCTCAATCGACACTTTATTGGTCCTGACCTGTACAATAAACCGGTTGCGCATTTAATAAGGGATAAAATTGAGCACAAGGTTTTTTAGTAATTGGTCATTGTGTTAAGCTTTTCTGTTGGCGTACATGCGCTAGGAAGACTTTCAAATGTCTGCCTGTCGGTTTTTATTCTGTGACCGACAATTTTTTTTAATTTTTCATTTCAACAGTTAAACTGAGTTCCTAAAGTCACCATTTTATGTAATTTGTTAATTTCAAATATTGTCATCTCTGGTTCTTAGTACTTTACCTTAAAAAACGAATGTTCAGATTTGGTAGTCAATTTGCCACTGTTAATTAGAAGTGTGTGTTTGGGATGTAGGGATTGCAATCGCTTCAAAACAAAGCGTCGAATATGTGAAGATCTAATCGTCCCCAAAATGGAAGACTCGGAAAACGGATTTCGCCAATTTTCATCGACGTCTAGCGCCACATTGTCAACATTTTTCTAATTCGAAATTCAGTTGACTTTTTTGAGAAACTGTGTACAAATCGACTAATGTTCGGATTAATTTAACTGTCATGAAAAGTGTATAACAATACGGAGTCCCAAATTCAGAGATCCGTGATTTTATCCCTAAAAGTGATTAAGATGTGTGAGCATTCAGGACGTGTTCTTATTTATGTTAAAAAATATTTTGCTAGTTGTTATGCGTTGATCCTCCACTCTGATCTAGGCTTTCACTTTTCACTCCACCAAAAAGTGTTAGTTGAGTTTTCACACCACAAGGGACCGTTTAGACAACCTTTTCGTAAATTAGGCCTTCAAGATCTGCAGCATTGCTAACCGAAAGAGGTAGTTGCTGCGACGTCTTTGGCGTCAACGCGGCCAGTTCGACAGTAGTGTGCAGCATATTACTTAGAAGAGGGCAAAGACATGGCATTTGGTGATGGCCAGTTTTTGCAGAGGAGATAAGTTTTAAGTCGACGAAGTTGCGCCACGCACCCAGAGTCGAAACACCTGCTGTCCCAACCTGTTCCAGAAAGTTCTAGCGCAAGCCACAGCTAGCAGTTTCACGTGGCACCAATACGCGGACAACTAGTGACTAACTAGGTAACCCGAGTGCGCTTAACATTCATCGCTTTGGCTGTTAAAAGTAGACAAACAGTAGACGCAAAATTTTCAAGCACACATTGGTCTTCTTGCCAAAGCTTGGCCTAGTTTTGTTGTACACTTTAATTTCAACTATGGTCAAAACCCGCTTGTCTGACTCATGACTCAGTTGAGACCAAAGCAATTAACCTTAAATGGTGTCCACCAAAGTCAAAAGCCATAACTTTTGTTCGTGGGTTCAAACAACAC